GCCCTTCTCTGCCCCTCCCCAGGACCAGCTGGGCAAAGCCACACCCATGTCCCTGCCTCAGTGGTCCTCCTCCACCATGGTCCCACCAGCCACTGCAGGACCAGGTGAAAGGCAACCCAAATCCTGCCATAAACCCACTTCTATCTACAGATATCCCCCAGCACACACAGGACCCAGACGCCAACCTAGGGACTCACATAAAACTGCCTGGCCCGGCCGGCGTGGCCTAGTGGTTGAGCGTCTACCTATGAACCAGGAGGTCAGGGTTCGATTCCTGGTCAGGGCACATGCCTGGACTGCAGGTGTGACCCCCAGTGGGGGGCGTGCAGGAGGCAGCCAATTGATGATTCTCTCTCATCACTGATGTTTCAATCTCTCTCTCCCGATCCCTTCCTCTCTGAGATCAATAAAAATATATTATTTTAAAAAAAAAAAGCTGACTAGACCCTAATGTCCCACAGCCACACGGGGCCTACAAAAGAGCAAGGCAGCTCCGTGCGCTGACTCGACACCCCCGGAGGGCGGGGCTGTGGGGAGATCAAGGTGCACAGCGGGTGGGAGCCCATGGGCAACGCACACCGTTCAGAGGGCGCCTTCTCTCTATAAATGTCTGGCTTCACATTCGATTTTGGAGACGGGCATCTGCTTGGAGATGTAAATGAAGGTCATTTATAGAAACCCATCCCACCCCACAAAGCGAACCACACGGTAGCCAGGGCCACGGGCCAGCCTACTCCTTGCCTGCGGCCGCCAGGCCTCCCCGTCCCACCCTGGGCTGGCGGCTGGTGGCCAAGCAGGTCCCTCCTCATGGGTCAGGGCTCAGCTCAGGGCACCTCCTCAGAGGGGCCTTCCCTGGTCACCCCTAAAAGCTGCCCCTTCATCCAGATGGCGGGGCGCCCTGGGCCAGGGGCTTGGGCTGGGTCTGGCTGGTACGGGGGTGACAGAGCCGTAGACACCTTCCCACACCGAGGAGCAAACACCAGGGCCCAGGGCGGGCTGGGGCAGTGAGACTGGCCTGCAGCGACCAGGGCTCCCCGGCCAGGGCTGATGGAAAGAGGCGGCCCGTTTGGCCAGGGCATTCTGGGAACCAGTGCAGTCGCCCACAAGCTCCTGACCTCGGCAGTGCCCTGGGGGAGACGTTGCGGGCTCACTCCTCGACCATCTTAAAGCTGCGAGCCCGGCCGGCGCGGCTCAGGGGTCGAGCGTCAACCTAGGAACCAGGAGGTCACGGTTCCACTCCCGGTCGGGGCACAGGCCCCGGCTGTGGGCTCCATCCCCCGTGTGGGGCGTGCGGGAGGCGGCCGGTCCATGCTTCTCTCTCATCATGGATGTTTCTCTCTCTCTCCCTCTCCCTTCCTCTCTGAAACCAATAAAAATAAAAAATAAAAATAATAAAAGCTCTGAGAAGTGGAGGTTCCCAGTGTCAGCCCAAGTGCGGAGCCCTCACGCACGACCTGCAGAGGACGAGGAAGCATCAGGCCACACCCTGGGGACCGAGAGAGGGGCCCCGGTCCGGCTGGGCCCCAGGGGAAGAGGAGGGGGAGCCCACCCGCCGGCCCTGACTCAGCCGGGGCTGGAGCTCATTTCCTGTTGGAAACTCTGAGCTGCCACCAGCAGTGGCTGCGGCTGCGGCAGGGAAGGGAGAACTGAGTCACCTCCGTCAGGGCTGGGGGTGCCCTCCCCTGCCCACTGCGGCCACACCCAGGCCCCCTCTGGTTCTGCTGCCAAATGCCTGCCCAGCAGCCCTGCGGTCCAACCTCGCCCAGATGAGGAAGCAGGAGAGAAAAGGAGGGAGGGGATCAGGGTCCCCACACCAGGGCCAGAGACGAGGGAGCGGGGGGTCTGCAAACCACTGAGGCACAGGGTGTGGCGAGGAAAGGCCGGGACCTGGCCTCTCCAAAGCTGGTCAGTGCTGACCAGTCACTGTTGGCCGGCTGCCTGGCCGAGCGCCTTCATCTCCTTATGGGAACAGCCATCCCATGGCCAGGAGCTGGAGAGCCCACGGGAGAGCCAGAGGTGGCCCCTGAACCCCACAATCCCACCAAACTGCCCAGGGGGTTCCCACAGCACAGACCAGGTGGGTCCAACCCAGGCCAGGCCAGGACGGGGGCTCCTGCTCAACACTGGGTCCCATGACCTCCATTCACCCGGCCCCCGAATCCATGCCCCCTTCCCAGCCCCTCAGATGTCAATTCCGCCTCAGGTGTCGAGACACAACGAGGGAAGCAGGGTCCAACCGGCCTGGTGCTGGGGGGCCTGGACCACCACGTCAGCACCAAGGCCCATGAGCTCCTGAGCCCATGGGACACGTGTCACCACCCACCTGGGTCCTGTCAGCACAGGTGCTTAGGGGCAGAAGGATGCTACAGAGAAGGGCACAGCCAGGGGTCGCTGGCAACCCCTGGGACAGCAGGACCTGTCCCATCCTCTGAGACCCAGCTCCCACCAAAAAGGACCTGCCTCGACTTGGGGCTGGGCCCGTGCCCGCCATGCCCTGGCCTCTGGGCCGCCAGTGTGCTCCTACCGGGGGTCTGCTTGTCTCCCCCACCCCAGCTGCCCCCTAGGCCATCACCAACCCCAAGCCAGCCAAACACCAGTCACAACATCTGAGCCACAAAACCATGCGGGCAGGGGTCACCCCCACTGGACAGACGCGAGGCTCAGAAAGGTCAGGCAGGTTGCCCGGCCACACTGCTGGACAGCAGCTCCACCCCGTGCACCCCAGCACCTCCTCTGGATTCCGCCGCCAGGAACAGAGAAGGCCTAGGCTCAGACAGGCCTGGGTAAGGGCAGCCCTGGGGAGAGGGGCAGGGCTGGGCGAACAGCTGGTCCTGCCAGTCCAGGGCCACAAGCCCCACCCCTCGCCCCAGGCTGCGCTTGGGGATGGGCTGGCAGGGGCCCATGTGCTCCTCCTGGGCCGACCCACCCAGGTCCTCAAGCCAGGGGAGGAGCCACGTGGCCCAATACAGGGCACCCAGCACCCTCAGGCAGAGAGAGCACCACCTGCTGGTGTGAGCAAAGCCCCCACCTGTGCTACACCCCCTCCAGCCCCCAGGCCGAGGCCCCCCGCTCCCCCTCCCATTCCCCATGGCTGGGGCCAGGATGCGGCTGACCTGTGGCCGGGGCAGGCTCCGGGCCAGGCCTCGCCAGGGTTCCAGGGGTGGAGGCGGGCACCACAGGGGGCTCAGAGGCCCCCGCCTCGGGCTCCTTTCGGCGGTAGACCCTCCGCTCCTCACGGACAGGATCCTCGGGAGGTGGGTGCCCCCGCTTGGGTGGGCAGCCCAAGGGACCCTGCACGGCCTGCACGTGGGGGGTGCGGCGCGCCGGCATCACCATGGCGACAGGGCGGCGCACGCGCTGCAGCGAGGCTGGCACGATCTCCGGAGGCAGGTGCAGGTACTGGCGCAGGTGGGCCACGCCCTCGTTGGTGAGGTACCAGTAAAAGTGGCGCCAGGCAAAGGTCTCCCGCACCAGGCCCCGGGCCCGCAGGGAGGCCATGGCCCGCATGACCTGCAGGTTGGTGACGCCGGGCACGTGGGGGTGCAGGCTGCGGGGCCGCCGGTCCTTCTTGGCCACCATCACACCCTCCCGGAAGAGCACCTCGTAAATGGCCCTCAGCTGGTCCAGGGCCATGAGCATGCCTGCCACCATGGCTGCGGAGCCGCGGGGCGAGGGCACGGGCGGAGCACAGGGAGGAGGCCGACAAGGCTCTTCAGCAAAGGAGCAGCAGGGGCCTGGGGCGGCAGGCGGGCGGGCGGGCAGGTGGGCAGGCCTGGTGCTGGGCTCGGGGCCTGGGCGCTGGACTTGAGGCTCTGGCGCCTGGCTGCCTGGCTGCCTGGCTGCCTGGCTCCTGCGATTCCTGATTCCTGCCGGCACTTGGGCCTGCCCACCGCCTGCAGAGCCTCCCGCCTGCCCTCCCTCCAGGACGCCCAGGCCGGCCCCCTCTGACTCAGCAGCATAGCCGGCCCCTCCCACCCGCAGCCACGGAGGGCCCCTAGGAGAGTGGGGGCACCTCGCCGAAGCAGCCACCCCTGGGGCAGCCCCCCGTTCCCTCCCTCCCGGGCCACTCAGCTCCAACATCAGAAATTACATCAGTTTCAGAACACTTCCTTCAAGGTCCCCCAGACGGAGGGGGGGGGGGGGGAGTAGCCAGGGACCAAGAATCTCAAAGGTGGGCGGAGGGAAGTGGGGAGCAGAGGGCAGGAGGGAACCCCACACAGGGTGGTGGTCCCAGGGCTTCATGGGCTCACAAGATCTAAAGGGGGTGCCGGGCCCGAGGGGAGGGCGGGCTGGGGTCTTGGGGAAGAGGACTGAGGAGAACTGCAAAGGGCAGCCGCTGAGCACATGGTCAGGAGGGCCGTGGGCACCGCTGGCTGCTGTCCATCAAGCAACCCCCACTCGGACCAGGGCTGAGACAATGGCCACCCTATTTAAAACTTCCCAGGCCGATCCCAGGCGACCCAGGAACATGGGGCCCCGGGGAGCAGGGTGTGGAGCCTCCATCCATTCCCCGCCCCACAGGCCAGCTGTCGGAGGCCAGACACGTTCAGCTGCCACCGGAAATCAAAGTCACCAAGTCCCGCCACCCCAGGCCCAGGCCCAGGCCCCTGGCCACCATGCCCGCCCGTCCCGAGTGCCCACCTGAGAGCCAGCTGGACAGAGGCTGGTCAGAGGAGCACGACATAGCAGAGGGTCAGGGGCCCAAGCAGAAGGGGGACAAGTACAGGGTGGGGGAAGGGCAGCGGCTCCCCAGAGGGCCCGGGAACCGGGCCCAGCCACACCCATCAGCCACCTCCAGGCCCCAGGACTGAGGCTCCACCATGGATATCCTGTGCCACCCCCATCCCTCCCCACACCCCAGTCCCCAACACAGCCACGCTTCCACCCACACGGACCCACACCCGGATCTGCGGGCTCCCCCCTCCCCCAAGCGGACACACCCATTCCCACCAGCCGGGAACTGATTATAAATAGGGCGGGCGGGGTGGGGATCCCGAGGTAGGAGGCGCCTGCGGCTGCGGCAGCTGCAGCCAAGAGGCAGCGCGTGGGGCAGGTTTATGCAGCCGTTGCTATGGCACCACCGAGCCTGCTGCAAACACCAGCCAGCACTCACACGCGAATGAGAGCACACACACACACACACACACACACACACACACGCACAGGCGCACGGAGCGCAGCGCAGGCAGCAGTGGCGGTGGAAACTCTGAAGGCACAGCCAAGCGTTCCCACGCCCGGCCCTCGCTGCCAGCTCCCTGCGGACACTCTCCCCCCACAGGCGGGAAGGGCGCCAGCCCCAGGAGGACCAGCTCCTGAGGGTGGAGCTCGGGTCAAGGAAGAAGCGCACATGGTCGGGAGTGGGCAGCGCCTGCGGACTCCGCCACCAGGGCTGTGGCTTCCGGAGCCGACACCGCTGTGGTCCAGGCCAGCACGCGGGCCAGTGGCCCAACCCTGGGCCCAAAGCAAGCCCACCCTCCCGGCCTGTCCTCCTCTCAGGGTCCCCGTGGGCACCCCGCAGCCCCACGCTGACCTCCTGCCCTCCCTCCATGGCCACCCCATACATCCCTGCTATCTTCCAGGTATTGATTCCTCGACCAAACCAGCCTAGGCCCCTTCCCCCAGCGGTGCCAGGCCACAGCCAAGGCTCGGACCTAAGACCTCAATACTCAGGCTGCAGGGTCTGCGCCACAGCGGGGCCATCCGAGCGGCGGGGTGCAGTCACCTGGGGCCCCAAGAGAGGGTCGGAGCGCGGTGGGGAATCCCCTGCCTCCCACACGCCCCGAGGGGGAGAGGGGGGCGGGGTGAGGGGCGGTGCCCGGAGAAGCGAGGAACGGGAAGTTCCCGGCCCGCCACGCCCCCTCCCCGCCCCCCGCCCTCCCGGCCGAGCTGGGAGGACGCCCCTCTCCGCCCCGCCCCCCCCCCCTGCAGAGCTGCAGCCGCAGTTGCTGATTCAGCACCGGGAGGGCCAGGCGGGCAGCGAGGTGGCCCCTGCCCACCCTCCGGCCCCTGCAGGTTTCCAGAGCAACCAGCCTGGGCCCTCGGGCAGCCCCGGCCAGCCCGCCCCGAACAAAGAGCCGCAGTGTGGGCTTGCCCGGGGCCAGCCGGCCTGGCGCCTCTGCACGGAGACCCCTAGGCCCTGCCTGTGCCCTCGCCCCTCGCCCCTCGGACGCTGGGCGGTGGGGTGGCCGGCGGCCCTGGGCTCCGGGGAGTCCCGGGAGAAGGGGCCGCCCCGCTGCAGAAACCCGCTCCCTCCTCTGCCCCGCCCCGCCCCGCGGAAGCCGCCCCGCCCCCGACTCACCGCCCGGCCTCAGGGCAGCGGCGGGAGGCGCCCCGGCCAGTCCCGGGCGGACCCCACCCCTGGTGGTGCCCCGACGGGGCCTGGGCCTGAGGTCTCCGCGCTCCAGCGCCCCATCCCCGAAGCTGTCCCTGCAGCAGCCCCTGACCCCTGCCCTGCGGGGGCTGCACCCCACCCAGGTCACTGCACCCCAAGCCTGGCCCGCGCACCCAGCCCGGCCTGCACCTTTGAGGGAGCTGATCTCGTGCTGGATGGCTCGCGAGGGGTCCATGTCTCCGGCGGCACCGAGGGCGGCCTCGCACACGCCACGCAGAGTCCAGCCCCGCACCGCGCTGTCCGGGCCAGAGCCGCAGCCCGGGGAGGAGGCGGGGGCGGGGCGTGCCGGCCTGGGCGGGGCTTCGGCGGATCGATGCTGGGCAAGGCCCCGGGCATGCTCCCTGCCAGCCCCCACCCCCGCCCCCCACCCCCGGGCGTCTAACTCCGGCGGGATGGCCAGGACCACCCGCCCGGCCCAGGCGCATCCCAGGCCCTCAGGGGCCCTGCAGGCACGTGCACGTGGCTTTCCTGGCCTCGATCCCTCGCTCCCGACAGAAGTTGCCCATCGGGCCCTGGCCGGTTTGGCTCAGTGGCTAGAGCATGGGCTCTGTACCTCAGATTCAGGCTCCCGGCTCTGTTTTTTTTGGGGGGGGGGCATGCGGGAGGCAGCCAATCCATGTGTCTCTCTCACATGGTGTTTCTCTGTCTCTCCTCTCCCTTCCACTCTCTCTAAAAGTCAATGGAAGAAAATCCTCAAGTAGTTACCCATGGGTCTGGGCCTCCACGTGGCTGCCAACCAGCACTCCGGGTGCGAAGGTGGGTCCCACCAGGGCAGGGGCGGGAGGCCTGCTCGCGGTCAGCCCATCATCACGGGATCCATGCCCCCCATGGGTGGTTCTGCCCCTGCCCTGCACCCTGGCCCCTCCTCTAGGCCCCGCCCCCACCCACATGCTCCTGTGGGCCGCCTCACCCCTGCCTATGACTCCAGATGCCCTCCACACGCTCACTCCTAAGATGGCGTGTCCATCTGGTCGCCAGCCGGCACCCAGCCTCTGCCACTCAGCAAGCCGTCACATTGGGCTGCACCATCACCTCCCAGGGCCCAGGGCCAAGCCAGGGTGCAGGGCACAGAAGCCTTGCTCTCTGGGCAATGGACCCCCTTTCGGCCCCCAGCGGAGGCCTCCTGTCAGGCCCACCCTCTGCGTTCCCTCCTGGCAAGGACAGCAGCGTCTCTAACCCAGAGACGCTTGTCTGGGCCGAAGGGGCAGCTGCCTCATCCCCGGACCCCAGGCCTGGACCTGCAGGCGTCGCCACGGGAAAGGAAGGAGACCTTGCAGTTCAAGGATGACTGCTTCCCAGGAAGGCTGCCGACAGAGCTCCACTTCACCAGTAAGAGCCCTGCCCGGCCGGTGTAACTCAAGGTGAGAGCCACGCACCAAAGGGTCACGGGTTCGATTCCCAGCCAGGGCGAGTGCGGGAGGCAACCAATGCATGCATCTCCTCACATTGATGTTTCTTTCCTTCTTCTTCCCTCTCTCCCATTCTCTCTTAAAAAAAAAGCAATGGGAAAAATATTCTCAGGTGAAGATTAAGGAAAAATATGTACGCTGACCTCAAAAACTCGGACAAGTCATCTGACCAAAAGGCATCTACATTTCCGATTGTAAGAAGCGGCCAGTGCTCTAGGGAAGAGGACGCACTGGTAACCCCAGAACAGACGTCCCTCCAAACCCGAGACGCCTCCTGGGCCACTCAGGCAGACACGGCAGGTCGAGCGGTGCCAGTGGGAAGCAAGCCAGTGCCCCTCAGCTCTGCCTTAAGGGCCCTCTGGGCCGGAGGCTAAGGGCCCTCTGGGCACCTCTGCGGTTGGTGGTGGCCTTGGCTCTGCCTGTGGGTGGACCCAGGTGAGCGGGGCCATGGGAGGACTGGGACTGCGCTCCTCTCAGCACCCAAACAAGCCACACTGATCTGTCTAAATCAGCCGTGGGCAAACTTTTTGACTCGAGGGCCACAGTGGGTTCTTAAACTGGACTCAGAAGAAGGAGCTGCGGCCGTGTTTCCCGACGTTGCCATGTTAACACCGCTGCTGGTGAAGGAGCGGAGGGGAGAGCAAGAGAACCCTCGCTCTTGCCCACGGCTGGTCTAAACCAACAAAAGAGCCCGCCTCTGAGAGGCCCAAGGGCTTTCTTAGGGGCCAGCAACAGCGGGGGGAGGGGGGCCTTCATCAGCCATGCAGGACAGAGTCCCGTGGCCCGGCCGGCATGGCTCAGTGCATGGGCGTCAACCCATGAACCAGGAGGTCGCTGGTTCGATTCCTGGTCAGGGCACATGCCTGGCTTGTGGGCTTGATCCCCGATGTGGGGCGTGCAGGAGGCAGCCAATCAATGCTTCTATCTCTCTATCCTTCTCCCTTCCTCTCTCTAAAATCAATAGAGACATTTAAAAAATAATGTGGAATGTGATGACTAAACACCAGTAGGAACTTAAGGGCAGAAAGCCAGCACCACACAGGAATACACGGGCCGGGGGAAGTGACGTCCAGAAGGTCCCCAAGGTCACGGATGCATTTGCCAAAACTGCGACTCAGACCCACCTGCCCGATGGCCCTGTACTCTGCCCCGCGCCTTGCTGCGCACGCACGCCTGTGGGTGAAGCTCTCGGGCAGGGAGCGGCGGGTGTGGGGCGAGCCCTCAGGCACTGCGGGGAGAAGCCACTTCGACACCCAGCGAACACTGAAACACGTAACTGTATGCGAACAGAACCCTCGCCCAACGCCACCACCACCACCAAGGGCACTGCCGGCCCCTCCTGACCGCCCCTTCCCACCCACACGCGTGGGGGCTCACTGTTCCCCAATTCCCGTTTATCCTCTGGAATTTCTTTATGGAACAGCGGGCACATGAACAGGATTCTTGGTTTTCCCCCTTTTTAAAAAATAAATATTTTTATTGAATTCAGAGAGGAAGGGAGAGGGAGAGAGAGCGAAACATCAATGATGAGAGAGAATCATTGATCGGCTGCCTCCTGCATGCCCCCCAATGGGGGTGGAGCCCACAACCCGGGCAGGTGCCCTGACCTGGAATCAAACCCCGAACCGTGACCTCCTGATTCATGGGTCGACGCTCAACCACTGAGCCACGCCGGCCGGGCAATGGTTTCCCCCCTTTTAACACAAATGCGGCGCCTCACACACCCGCACATGGAGGTCTCCGCCTGGGCGTGCAGCACAGCCCCGTCCTCCAGCGACGTCTGTCGCCTGAGCAGGCGCTTTCAGATCTGACAGACACGCCGCCCACTGGCCCGTTTCCCACGCTGCCCCACCACCGCCCAGAAATCCAGGTGTGGGACCTCTGCCAATCTGAGGGGTGGACACTGGTGTCCGGGTGGAGATAAAGCCGACATTGTGTGTACCCTTTGACCCAGAAATTCCATGTGTAACAACTGTCACGGCCACGCACAGCAATCCAGCTACAAAACTGTTCACTGCGGCAGTTTCTAATCCCAGAGAATAAAACAAAATAGAAATAACCTTAACGTTCTATGACAGGGGATTCGCTTAAATAATGATAGGGTTACCATTTAGAGGAATATTACATTGTAAGTTAATGTTGTGGAAAGATGTCCAATTAGCAGTAAGTAAAAAGAAGTTATGTGTCCACAATATTTCATCATCAGTCCGGCCGGCGTGGCTCAGTGGTTGAGCATCAACCTGTGAACCAGGAGGTCACGGTTTGAGTCCCGATCAGGGCACATGCCCTGGTTGTAAGCTTGAACCCCAGTAAGGGGCGTGCAGGAGGCAACCAATCAATAATTCTCTCATCATTGACGTCTCCATCTCTCTCTCCCTCTCCCTTCGTCTCTGAAACCAATAAAAATATTTTTTAAAAGTTATCTTTGCCTTAAGCAGGCCCTGTTCTTAAATTTTTATCATATTTAATTACAAAATTACAAATATATTAAGTTATATGACAAAACACTGTGCATATTTTTTTAAATCCTTACCTGAGGATATGTTTATTGATTTTTGAGAGAGAGAGGAAGGAAGAGGGAGAAAGAGAGATACATCAATGTGAGAAACATTGATCAGTTGCCTCCCATACGTGCCCCAATGGGGGATCAAACCCACAACCTAGCTTTGTGCCCCCACTGAGATCCAAACCCTCAACCTTTTGGTGCAAAGGATGATGCTCCAACCAACTGAGCCACCTGGCCAGGGCACAATGTGCACATTTTTAAAAAACAACAAACAGCCAGGCCAGTGTGGCTCAGTGGTTGAGTGTCGACCTGTGAACCAGGAGGTCACAATTCCATTTCTGGTCAGGGCACATGCCTGGCTTGCGGGCTCAATCCCCAGTATGGGGCATGCAGGAGGCAGCCAATCAATTATTCTCTTTCATCATTGATGTTTCTCTCTCCTTTTTCCTTCCTCTCTGAAATCAATTTAAAAAAAAAAAAGATGTGGAAGTTTTACAGAACATCAACCAAACCAGTGCAGGGTGAGTTGGGGAGGGCATTGAATGGTGGCCCCCGAAAGGTAAGTTCACATCTAAACCCCTGGTACCTGTGACTGTGATCTTATTTGGAAACTAGTGGCCCGGTGTACAAATTCATGCACATTGAAAGGCAATTAGAAGAAATGTTTTAATATCACTATTCGCCCTTTCTCTACAATAGAAGTGTCAACCAAATTCACGATCGACAATGACAGAAACACATGGTACGATTGGTGCCAGCGAGAGCTTTATATGTATCATGCATGTGCGAGTCAACTTAGCCTTTTACAGATATAGAATAAACTTGCTTAATTAGACCTGCTATCTGATGTAGCTAAACTTTTTCCAGCCCAGTGAAGCACCCCAATTTGTCTTTCAGGTAATTGTCAGCAACACAGCAGTAAATATCAACACGAAGCAGATTATTATTGTAGATCACGCAGGGAGAACCAAGGGTAAAATATTTAACTGCAGCCGCGTTTGACTATATTCTGCGCAGTGAGAAAACCTGAAGTCATTTTCAAGGCCCACCATTTCTTACTTCTTTTCAGTTGGGTCAAGTTTCTAAACTTTCTAAATCTGTTTTCCGGCTAATGAAAAGAAAATAGGATTCCACCGAGTCTCCTGTCTACCTACTTCAGGACTTCTGTGAGGATCAAATGAGATGAGGCACGGGAAAACGCTTCACAGACATTTGGTGAAAGTGTAAAATGTTTGCACCTGGCTGTAAAGCAAATCGTGTTCCTGGGCTGAAGAAACTCCAAGGAGGCTAGTTGTCGCTAGGGAGAGGAAGCCGGGTGTTGCTATGTGACATCATTACCCTGTGCCCACAGCAACCGTTTCCGGGCTGGACTGGGCTGTGGGCTGCATTTTGCGCCATGGGGTCTTGGCAGTGTTGGCTGCAATTTGGTGGGGTGTCACTTGGGGGTGGTGGCGGGGCCTGTGTCCCACTTGGGGAAAGCTGAGTGTTGGTTTGTGGGTGCCAGTTCCATGGTGCCAGTGCATGTCACGGCAGCTCCTGCATTGAGTGTCTGCCCCCTGGTGGTCAGTGTGCATCACAGTGACCAGTCAGATGGTTGGACAATTAGCATGTTAGCCTTTTATATATAGAGATAGGAGCTTTGCAACTGTAATTACAAATCTCGGGCGATCGCCCTGGATTGGTCAGCGGGCTCTAAATCTCATGACGTGTGTCCTCATAAGACAGAGAAGAGGAGACACACAGGGAAGCCATGTGAAGATGGGGGTAGAGATTGTAGGCAACACACCAAGGAATGCCAAGGGCCCCCAGGAGCCTGAGAGGCCGGAAAGGTTCTAGAGCAGCGGTTCTCAACCTGTGGGTCGCGACCCCTTTGGCGGTCGAACGACCCTTTCACAGGGGTCGCCTAAGACCATCCTGCATATCAGATATTTACATTATGATTCATAACAGTAACAACATTACAGTTATGAAGGAGCAATGAACATAATTCTATGGTTGGGTCACAACATGAGGAGCTGTATTTAAAGGGCCAGAAGGTTGAGGGCCACTGTTCTAGAGCCTTCTGAGAAAGCACAGCCCTGCCGACACCTTGGTTTTGGACTCTGGCCTCCCGAGCCGTGAGAGAATCCGTTTCTGTTGTCTTAGCCCGTGTCACTCTGTTACGCAGCCCGGGAACACAGCTCAGGGGTGAGTCCTGTGGTGACAGCAACAGTGAGGCCCATTGTATCTCTGGATACTTAATCCCCTGCCTGTTTCATGAGCTTCCCATGTAGTCATTCATTTACTCAGAAAAAGAACAAAGATACGTTTCAAAAGGTCAGCATGCACACTCATGTGAAAAGGAAGAAGAGAATAAAGATGATAGTGGCCTCGTGCTCAAGGACACCTGCTGGGGACACCACCCTCAGCTTTCCACCAGCTGCCCCCCGACCCCTGCGGTCCAGAACTTCCAGAACCCAGCTGTCCCCCCAGCCCCACTGTCCTTCTAGGTCCCTCCTCTCCTGCCGCTTCGGCCCTGGACCTGCCCACCCCAGGAGCCAGAGTAGGCAGCAGGTGCCTGCCCTCTTCCTGGCCCAGGTCCCTTTGCCCAAGCTCCCTACACGAGAGGGAGGTGAAGGTGCGCAGGCCCTGCAGGCTAGCATCCCAAGTCTTCCCAGGGGGCCTTCCTCACCTCACCTAGAACACTTCCTGGCTCCCCCTCCACCCAGCCCACCAGCACCCATGGCCCCACCAGCACCCATGGCCCACCAGGCACCCAACCCTGCACCTCCCTGCCCCCTGTGGGCCTGCCCTTGGCCCCAGGCCGTGGTGTGTCTAGGCACCTGGGCCGCCTGCACCGTCCCTCCCTGGCCTCCTTGCGTCCCTTCCCACAGCACTCAGATCCCGGCCCCTGCTCCCAGCTCCCTCGGGCTCCTCCATGGAAAAGACTGAAGGTGGACCCTACCTCCTACCACACGCAATTATTAATTCAAAATGGAGCAAATGCCTAAACACAGGAGCTAAAACTATAAAACTCTTGAAAGAAAACAGGCGTAAATCCTCATGACTTTGGAATAGGCAACAAAACCTAAAGCACTAGCAACCAAGAAAACAAAAAATAGATAAAGTGGGCTCGCCATAATGAAACACTGCGAAGGACAATCAGGAAAGTGAAAACACAGCCAATCAGGAAAGTGAAAACACAGCCGATGGCATCAGATAACAGTTTTACAAATCAACTATCTGATCAGGGGCTCGAATCAGGAATCCGTAAAGGGCACTCACAATCTAATCATGCACAGATAAAACCCCAATTTAAAAATGGACAAAGGATCCGGCAGGTGTGGCTCAGGGGTTAAGCGTCGACCTATGAACCAGGAGGTCATGGTTGGATTCCTGGTCGGGGCGGGGCACATGCCCAGTGGCGGGCTCCATCCCCAGTGTGGGGCGTGCAGGAGGCAGCCGATGGACGACTCTCTCTCATCATGGATGTTTCTCTCTCTCTCTCCCTCTCCATTCCTCTCTGAAATTAATAAAAATATATTTCCTAAAAATGGAAAAAGGATCTGGACAAAGGTTTCTCCAAAGAAGACACAGGACGGCCAGTGAGCTCGAGAAGGCGCGTGGCCGACCAGGCATCGGGCAGCACAAATGAGAACCAGCACCCGGCCCACTTCACACCCACTCGACTGGATGTCCACAGTCAACAAGGCAGATAGTGCTGAGTGCGGGTGAGGCTCCCGGGGCGCAGGGGGTGCAGTGCTTGGAGACCGACCTGGCAGTTCTCCACGCAGCTAAAGATAGAACGACCCCTGACCCAGCAATTCCACTCCTTGGTGTCTGTCCAGGAGAGATGAAGACCATAAAGATTTACGGAAGCACAGCAACTCACACACAAGGTCCACGGCAGCACTGCTCAGACCAGCCACAAGGTGGAAACCACCCAAATATCCATCAAGTGTCATCTATTAAGTGTATGATGGCATCACATCAAAACAACCCACAAAACTACAGCCCTGGCCGGTGTGGCTCAGTGGAT